AGGGAGAGGAGGAAGAGGAGGGGAGGAGGATGCTTAGGATTTCGGCTCCTGAGCAGCCCAAGGCCCTCGCCCCGGCTCAGGGGGCTGGGGAGGCCGGGAGGAGACCGGACAGGCCTTGGCTCTTCCTGGGGCCAGCCGGCGGCCGCGGGCAATTCCCCTTTGGTGCTCTTGCTTACAGACGAGGGAAGACTGGTCCCAGGAAGCTGGGCTCACAGCGTCCTCCCGGGGCCCCCTGGAGCCTGTGACAGCCCGCCAGTGCCACCCAGCCCTGCCGGGGTCAGAGGGAAAGTGGGCCTGGTTGCCCGGGGTCCTCCTCGCCCGGCCCGCCGGCACCCCCCGGGCTGGTCCACCTGCACATGGAGGTCCGCCTCCGCCAGGCTCTCGGGGACGATGCCGTTGACCACCACGTCGAGGAGCAGGAGGCCGTCAGGGCCCAGGCCCCGCGCCACTTGGGTCATCTCCAGCAGCTCCCCTGCGACCCGGCCCCACATAGCTCAGTCTCCACGGGGAGACTCTGGGCTCGGGCCTCAGCCATCCCAGCCGCCCGGCTGCCTGGCCGCCTGGTTGCCCGGCCGCCCGGGGGAGGCCCTGCTCACCGGTAGCAAACTCCACGTGGGACTCCTGCCGGAAGCTGCCACCCGTTAGGGAGTGGCCGTTCAGGGCCTCTCCGCGCTCTCCAGCCAGGGCCCAGTAGATGGGGGCGATGGTGACCACCAGCACCCGCAGCAGAGGCCCTGGGAGAGGCAGGGCGTGAAGGCCAGGTTAGGGCTGGATCTTCGGGGCGGCTACACTCCCGCTCCAGGGCCCTCTGGGGCTCCCCATTGCCCGAGAAGAGCTCAGCCCCTTCCCAGCCTCATGCTACCTGCACTCGTTATTTGACCAGAACCTGGGATATGTCAGAGGCAAATAATCTACTTCATGGAGTAGTTGTAAAAATTAATCCAATAAATGTATGCAAAGGACCACCTGTAACGTGTTGATATTCGACCGGGTTCAATAGATACAGGCTGAAGGCGACTGGACCGTCTGGGAGCTTGGGACTCCACAGACTGTCGTCACATATGTGCGGGACTGAGTTGGAAATCAAGCGTTTCCTAACTCTCAGGTACTTTCCGGAAGAGCCTGAAGAGGAAGGACTGACCCAAACCATTTGAAGAAAGAGCCCCAGATTGCCCTGGATGCAGCTTCTCCGAGCATCTTGTGACGCCCAGCCCTCCCCTGGGGCCAGGTGGGGCCACGCCCTGGACATGGGGAACAGGCCCACTGCCCGCTGCTCTGATGCTAACGGAAGCCAGCCAGGCCCTCGTGCAGGGCTGAGGTCATGGGTGCTTCAGAGGAACTGCTTTTAGGCAAGACCCTGTGAGCGCTGCCCCTGCCCTGCTTTGGTTTCGGGACCCAGGAGGGGCAAGGTAGCAAGTCTACTCGGAGACAGCCACTGCGCAGACACCACGGGATGAATCTGTGGGCAAGGAGGGCTCTTGTCCTCTGGCTTGTTTTCTTTCTTTCTCTCTCTCTTTCTTTCCTTCCTTCTCTCTCTCCCCTTTCCCTCTCCCTCTTCCTCTTCTCCTCCCTTCTTTCTCCCTCTCTTTCTTTCTCCCTCTCCCTCTCTCTCATCCATGCCCCTTCCCTCCCTCTCTCCTTCCCTCCCTTGTTTTACAGACAGAGTGTTGCTCTGTTGTCCAGGTTGGATCATAGCTCATTGCAGCCTCCACCGCCTGGGTTCAGGCAATCCTCCTGCCTCAGCCTCCCGCTGTAACTCTGGGACTACAGGCTCATGCCATCATGTATGGCTAACTTTATTTTTCAGTCGAGATGAAGTCCCACTATGATGCCCATGCTAGTCTCAAACCTCTGGTCTCAAGGGATTCTCCCACCTCGGCCTCCCAAAGTGCCGGGATTACAGGTGTGAGCCGCTGTGCCCAGCCTGGTCCTCCCGGTTTTCTAGCTAATTCAGCTCTCCACATTTTCCACTTCCCTGATTCTCTTAGTCTTGGCCTTAACAATGGGGGAGAAAAAGGCCCCACCCAGGAGTCAGTGGCCTGGAAAATCCGTATCTGAGCTCCTGCATGCACATAACTCTAACCATTCGGCTCATTCTTGGTCTGATTATAAATGCAGGGGTGATTTTATTTTGCAGGGGGGTTGAGATGGAGAGGAAGTTGCCCACACCTAAGTCTATTTTGACTTGGAACCAGCTATCAGGGACGGTCTGACACGCTCCAGCCCTTAGGTTCCTCCTGGGTCAGGCACGTGCCGTAGGGTCCCGGGTGGGCTGGGGCAATGGGCCCAGATGCAGGTGATGCTCCAGCCCCCACTCACCCACACTTGCTGGGACATGGCTGATGCTGCTCTGGAAGGTGCTGACCCCGGATCGAGCCTCCAGCTGCACACTGGTGTTGAGCGAGGCCACGCCAAATTCCTGGCCGTTGATCACCCCGACCATGCTGCCCCGGCTCCCCCGGGGCTCCCCTGGGGTGGGGGGGAAGGAAAAGAACAGTAGTGACACTTACGATCCAACCCTGGTGCCCAGAGTACAAGTAGGTACTGTCGTCCTTCCCGTTTCATGAAAGAGTCAACGGAAGCTCAGAGAGGTAAAGTAACTTGCCCGTGGACACACAGCTAAGAGGACGGACTCAATACCCAGGGGATTCTGACTCCAAAAGAGAAGGAAGGGCTGGGCGTGGTGGCTCATGCTTGCCATCCCAGAACTTTGGGAGGCCGAGGCAGGAGGATCACTGGAGATCAGGAATTCAAGACCAGCCTGAGCAACATAGTGAGACCCAGTATCTACAAAAATCCCAAAATTAGTGGTGATGTGTGACTGCGGTCCCAGTTACTTGGGAGGCTGAGGCAGAAGGATCCCCTAAGCCTAGAAGGTGGAGGCTGGGGTGAGCTGTGATCGAGCCACTGCACTCCAACCTGGGCAACAAAGTGAGACCCTGACTCAATAAAAAAGCGAAGGGAGGTTGCCAGGAGAAGACCCGAGCTGGGCCGAGTACGGGCTTCTAATTCTGATGCTGCTACCACCTTCCTTGAAACCTGGCCACGTCAGCCCCCTTGAAGCCACATCTGAGTTGGCTCACCTGTGGAATAAGGAGGTGGGACCACAGACATGTGGGAGACCTGCGAGTGTCCTAGAACGCCAGGAGCCCGTGAAGGCGGGGCTGGCACCCTGGAGGAGCCAGGGCGTGGGGCCAGAAGCGCGTGCCGTCCCCCGAACACCCCCCCCATTCCATCAGTGGCGCTGGCTCCGGCCGCCCTGCCGCTGGCCCGGCTGGTGCAGGCTGTGAGCAGATGTTCCCCAGCACTAATCAAATGGACGGCGCGGCTTGGGGGCGCATCCTCCCACTAATGGGCCAGCTGTCTTTTTCGGGCAGATGGCATTCCGGGAGACGGGAGACAGGAGCGAGCCTGCCTCTCTGCTCACCAGCTCTCAGGAGACATTAACAGCAAATTGCCCACGATCTGTTGAAGAATAACATGAAACACGCAATGGCCAGGGTCCTCATGGGGATACGGGGGGCGGGTGGACCTTGGATTCTAAGAAGCAGTGTCATTTCCTGCAGCCGGTAGCTGAGGTTTGATAAGATATGATGCCCATCTGGACTGCTTCTCATCAATATCCGCTCCTTTGGGGTTTCAGCAGTGGGCGGGCAGGGACGGGAGGAGGGCCATGAGCCTAGCCCTGGCTTTTTGCTTCGTTTTGTTTTTCATGATTCCTATCATGAAGCAAGAACTATACCCGTCTTTATTTATTTATTTTGAGTCGGGGTCTCGCTCTGTCGCCCAGGCTGGAATGCAGTGGCACGATCGTGGCTCATGCAGCCTTAAACTCCTGGGCTCAGACGATCCTTCCACTTCAGCCTCCCGAGTAGCTGGGGCTACAGGCACATGTCACCACGCCTGACTCATTTCTAAAATTTTTTGTAGAGGGCTCACTATGTTGCCCAGGTTGGTCTTGAACTTTGGGGCTCAAGTGATCTTCCTGCCTCGGTCTCCCAAGGTGCTGAGATTACCGGTGTGAGTCATCTCACCTGTTTTTTCTTGAAGCTTGGTCTGACTCAAGGGAGAAGAAAGCTGGTTGAGGAATCTGAGATGGCCAGGGTTCCTAACACCAGCAAGCATGTCCTTTCTGATCACCCTCCATGGCCAACTAGTGTGAGAAGCACTAACTCGAGGTACTTGCATGATCAATGTTTATATACCTAACCCTGAATTGTACCCCACATCTTTACAATTAAAAAACAGAAACACTAATTCATAGACTTCCACGGCAGAGGATGCTCTTGTTTTTTGTTTTTTTGAGTTGGGGTCTTGTTCTGTTGCCCAGGCTGGAGAGCAGTGGCATGATCATGGCTCACTGCAGGCAGCCTCAAACTCCTGTGTTCAAGTGATCCTCCCACCCCAGCCTCCTACGTAGCTGGGACTACAGGCGCATGCCACTACACCTGGTTAATTTTTTGATTTTTTTGTAGAGTTGAGGTCTCACTGTGTTGTCCAGGCTGGTCTCAAACTCCTGGACTCAAAGGATCCTCCCACCTTGGTCTCCCAAAGTGGTGGGATTAGAGACGTGAGCCACCATGCCTGGCCCACTCTCGTCTCACTCTGCTTACTTCATGGGGTTGTGGAGTCTCCGCATCTCCCAGCAGAGGACACGTGTTTGTGCCAGTTAAACTGAAACAACCAGGGTTCCCTGCTCAAGATGAGCAGCAAACACTTAGCACCTCTGAGACTCAGTTTCCCGAACTTTAAATGGGCCCAAGAGAACCTCCCCAATGGTTCATTCTGAGTTTGTGGCTAAGCAGAGAACTGGAGAGCTGGCAGAGCAGGGGGCCAGGTCCCCCACACCCCAAACGACACCCGATCCCCATCAGCATCAGGTCCCGTCTCTGTCCACAGTGGTCTGGGCAGGGACAGACGCCGTACCTCTCACTGCCAGGAGCGCCCGGGCCATGGCAGAGCCCAGGAGGTTGTGAGCCACACACTCGTATGCGCCCGCGTCGCCTGCTTCCACGTGCTCCAGCCACAGGCTCCCATCGGGTAGGGTCCGGAGCCGCCGGCTGGCCCGCAAGGGTCGGCCTGCCCGCAGCCACTCAACGGTGGGTGCCGGCTCCCCCGTGGCCTGGCACCGCAGGGCCACGTCATCCCCGGATCTCACTGTCGTGTCCTGGGGCTCCACCTGGAACACGGGGGCACCTGTGGGAGGTCCGGGGCAGCGTTTAGGAACATTTTTATTATTTGTGCATATTCAAGACACGTATTCGTTTGGAAACGCTGGATAACACCCAGAGGCCGGAAGGAGAATATAAGAACCACATATGGTCGAGTCAGTTACCATTCCCGCAAATTTCCCTCTAGACATCATTTGCTTCCTCATAAAAATATGATCATATTGCACTTGCCTGCTTTTTTTCTTTTCTTTTCTTTTCGAGTTGGAATCTCACTGCATTGTCCAGGCTGGAGTGCAGCGGCACACTCACAGCCACCCCAGCATTGACCTGCTGGGCTCAGGTGATCCTTCCACCTCAGCCTTCCAAGTAGCCAGAACTACAGGTGCACACTACCATGCCCGGCTAATTTTTTGATTCATTGCAGAGATGAGGTCTTGCCAAATTGCCCAGGCTGTTCTCGAACCCGTGGGCTCAGGCAATTCCCTCACTTCAGTCTCCCAAAGTGCTGAGATTACAGGTTTGAGCCACCGTGCCTGGCCTTCTTTTTTTTTTCTGAGTCAGGGTCTCACTCTGTCACCCAGGCTGGAGTACACTGGCATGATCACGGCTCACTGCAGCCTCAACTTCCTGGGCTCAGGCGATTCTCCTGCCTCAGCCTCCCTAGCAGTTGGGACCACCATGCCTGGCTAAATTGTTGATTTTTTTGTAGAAACAAGGTCTCGCTATGTTGCCCAGGCCGGTCTTGAACTCCTGGGCTCCAGCGATCCTCCTACCTCAGCATCCCAGAGTGCTGGGATGACAGGCGTGAGTGCCCACACCTGGCCTCTGCCTGTATCTGTGCTCGACATAGATCATAACTACCTTTCCATTACACACGCCACTACATGCTTGTTTTTGGTGGCTGTGCAGCAATCCACCACTTGGTTCTCTTGGAATTTACTAGATCAAAACTCTCATGGGACACTTAGGTTGTTTTCACGAAGAGGAGCCACTTGTCCAAACTGCCTCTACCCGATGTGATGGGCAGACCCAGGCTCTGCCAACGACTGTCCCCAGGTCACTCCCTGACCCTCAGTTTTCTCATCTGAAAGATTGGGGTGGTCCTCCCTGTTCACTGAACTCCCCCAGGGTGGCTGAACGCAGAAGACAGGTGATGCCCATGCCGGGGAAGCTGTGGCCCCAGCAGGGCCCTCACATGCTGCGGCGAAAGCGCTGACTGGTGCCGTCACGGTGGGGCACCGTGGACCCAAGTATGCGTGTCTGGGAGACACTGTCACAAACTGCCACGCACGTGGTGGCTTCGCACAGCAGAAGGGTCTCCTCTCACAGGTGGAGAGGCCAGAGCCCAACATAGGCCTCTCTGGGCTGAAGTCAAGAGGCTGTGCTCTCTCCGGAGGTTCCAGGGGAGAGCCTGTCTCTTCTCCTCCGGCTTCTGCTGGTTGCCAGAATGCCTTGGCTGGAGTCTGCGTCACTCCATCCTCTGCTTCCATCTCGCCTTCGTGTGTGTGTGTGTGTGTGTGTTTAATTTCCCTCTGGCTCCCTTTTCTAAGAAGACTTATGATAGCATTCAGGGCTCACCAAGATAAGCTCATCACAAGATCCTTACCTTAAATACCCAGCCTCGGCAACATAGTAAGACCTTGTCTCTACAAAAAATTTGAAAAATGAGCTGGGCGTGGTGGTGCACACCTACATTCCCAGCAACTTGGGAGGCTAAGGTAAGAGGATTGCCTGAGCCCAGGAGGTTGAAGGTGTGGTGAACTGTGGTCATGTCATTGCACTCCAGCCTGGGTGACACAGTGAGACCCTGACTCAAAAAAAAATTATTCCCTTAAACACATTTGCAAAGATTCTTTTTCCAAACAGTCATATCACAGGTTTTGGGGATTAGGAAAACTATGTATACACACACACACACACACACACACACACACACACACACACACACACCACACACACATGTATATATATTTAATTATAATTATATTCAATTAAAAATATATAAATACATATATATATATATATATATTTTTTTTTTTTTTTTTTTTG